GTGGCGGCGGTGGCGGCGGCGGTGGCGGCGGCGGTGGCGGCGGTCCAGTTAAACAAGTACAAATCCAAATCGACGCGTCAGGTCATACGCACAGCGTGAGTGGCTCACAAGCTCCCTTTCACACTGCATGCGATGGCTGGAAGCCCATACCGGCACCATCTGGCTCCTACGTAGAGGGCAACAACATCGACACTCAATCCGGTTATAGTCAAGTCGCTCAGGGTAACTTCGGTACACAGTATAGTGGTGGGGCAGGTGTATCTGGCGGAGGTGTCGGTGCAACTGGCAGTGGTGGCAACGTTCTTGATGGACTGACGGATGCACAACTGGTTGCAGTAGCACTACAATCGGGTGACTTCGATACACACATACGCGGCCCTGAGCTCCCACCATCTGGGCCAGCAGGTGACTTTAAGCAACAAAACATCAATTCAATTGAAACTGACGCACTACAGGTAAGCGCAGAAAATTTCTAATCCTACGTTCCAAGAAATATTTGCCTCAATTTTGTATTTCTCCACAGGTTTCTCTTGGCGTCGGTGATGATTCGTACAGCAAACCACCGCTAGACTCCTTCGCTCCCGGCTCAATTCATGCGCAGAAATACAACAGCATTGGTGGTAATGGCGCACCACCTCCACCCAGTGGTAATTATGGCCCACCTTCGCCAGTGAACAGCTATGGTCCACCACCCAGCGGTAACTATTTGCCGCCACCAAGTGGAAATTACGGACCGCCACCACCAGCCAGTGATAATTATGGTCCACCACCGCCACAAGCTACTGGCGGTCGTTTTGTACAAGAACAGCATTCGTCATCTTCCTCTTCCTCCTCATCCCACGTTGGCCTCCAATATGGTTCACAGTCTGGTAATGTACTTAATGTTCCAACGCACGGTGCTTCGCAACCCAGCCGTCCGGTGGCCTTCCGTCCGCCCGTGCCTCAGGGTCTACTCGAGTCGATTGGCGCCACAGTACAGCATTTGGATCAGTTTGGAGTGAAACCACCTACCCAGTCACCCACATACATTCCACCCGCTGCTAATGAAATTGCCGAACAGGGGTCTGGTAATCTTGGTCCTGATTATGTGCCGCCTCCACCGCCTGCGCAAGTAAACATTCCACTCGGCGTGATTGAGCAACAGTTGCCGCAAGAGCAACCGCCTCGGGTCTTCGCACAGGTAAATCAGCAACAACAAGAACAAAGTCACGCACAAAACACACAACACTTCCACCATCTACAACAACAACAACAGTTCCAACAACAGCAAGGCTCATTACAGCAATTTCCGCCATTACTTCCACCACCACCCCCATCGCAAGCTCAATTTCAATTTTTACCACCTTTGCAGGAACAACATGGCAACTCACTAAACCAATACGGCCCACCCTTGTCACCACCTCCACCACAGCAACAGTATCTGCCGCCACCACCACCACCACCACCACAGCAAGAGCAACAACAACATGGCCGCCCCTTCCCACCACCACCATCCCAACAATACCTACCCCCTCCTCAAACTGGCCCAGTGACATTCGAACAGCAAAATAGTGCCGCTTCAAGCTCTAACTTCGAAAGCGCCTATGCCTCTTCGCAGCAAAACGAACAGTTCATTCATGCGCAGGGCTTACCACTACTGCAAGAACCCCGCTTCGCACAAGTGCACGATTGCGGCCAAGGGCCAAATCTAGTCGGCGCAGGCTATCAATTGCAGCAACAAAACCAGTACCAGCAGCAACAGCAACAGCAATTCCAGCAGCAGCATGCACAACAATATTCGGCCTCCAACTCAATCTCTAGCACTTCATCAAATGCATACAACGCCATTTCACAAAGCATTCCTGTGGCCGAGCAGCATACGCAATTCCTCGAACAAGAGCCAGCAGACAGCTACGGATTACCGCAGTCGGGTAACGACATCGATCACGACTACGATGCCTATGCGTCACAGAAGTCTGCAGTGGCCGCTTTGCCAGACGGCACCGACCCACAAGATCTACCCGGCCTCGATGGGCTCAATGTGATTTCAGCACAAAAATCACAGTCTATACAGCTCTCACCCGAGCAGGTAAGTGGCGCAGCGCACTCGCAACACGAACCGAC